GTTTGAACCGCCAGCCGTCTGGTTAGCAGGCAAGTGTCTTAGCCACTATGCTACCAGAGCTCCCATAGTAGCAAGTAGCAATAGCAAATTCAGTGTGGTTGAAATAGATGGAATGAGAGAGTAAGTAAAAGATGATGAGGTCAGAGGGGTAACTGGCCATTTGAGGGTTTTGAGCACAGGTTCTGACTTATATTTAAGAGGATCATTCTGGCTGTTATGTTGGTAATAGACTGCAGTAAGCATGTAGCGGTGGCAGGGACAGACATAGGGAAAACAGTTTGTTGCCTAATGAAGTAATTTGGGCTACTATTTGTTTGGTGTTGGACCAGAGGAAAGATGGTAAGATGTACTTGGGTTCTGTGTATATTTGGAAGATTGAGCCAATAGGATTTGTGGATAGTTTAGATGTGGGGAGTGACAGAAAAAAGAGTCATAGATGGCTCTGAGACTTTTGGCCTAAACAATATGGAAAGGATAGAGCTTCCAGTAACTGAAAGGGGAAAGAATATGTAGAGAAAATGTATGGGAAAGGGATGATGAGCTCAGTTTCTGATATATTATAATGGAAATGCTATGACACATCTAAGTGTCTATGATGAATCTGACAAGTTTGGAGTTTCATCATGAGTTTTTTAGTGGGAGAGACAGTTGAGCGAGTATAGAGTGGTATGTGCTAGCAACTTATTTTATTGGTGTTGGGACTTCATATTTCTCTGGGTCATGCTGGCCATTTGGGTACTGCCTTGCCTCGCCACAGTCAAAGTTAGCATGTTGGTTCAGGCTTATTTCCTAAATGGTCAGTTCCTAAGAGGTGTAAGATCCTTCACTTACTTGTAATCATCGTCTCTAATTTGTAACACCCCTAGATCCATTCCTCATTTATGTAGGTTTGGTGTTGTGGCTCTCCCTTAGTCTCATCTGTATTATTTCCTTTCAGGGATTCCTTACTATTTCTTGTCTGTTCATGACATTCTTGTTTGTTTTTCTAGTTAAAGAAACTTTTCTATTTTCAAGGATTAGGGTAGAAATGTTGAGGTAGGTATGTGTTTAGTCAGCTGTTTCAATCCAGGCTTCTTGCCATATAGTAAAAATAATAAATGTTTATGGAATATTTACAAATATTCTAATGACAAAAAGAACATCATTCGTATCTGCACAGTGACTATTTTGGTTTATTTCTCCTAATATTCCCAAAATATTTTATTTATTTTTTTACTTATATAATAAGCATTTTCCTCATATATACTGTATAATTGGAATTTCAGTTTCTAAGATAATTTTCTTGGGCTTGCTCTTTGGTGACCCTTTTTATACTCACAGTAAGTGTAACTATTCAGTGATTTAGTCTTCTGGTTTGGCATGAGTAGAAGGTTGACTGAGTAGGAACATTCAAGTTGTTATATGGGGCAGTGATAGTCTTCTCCCTATATGAATAGAGCCAATGTGTTATTTCTTTTTTCAAGTTATTTTAATTTCTGTTAATAATTTTTTTCCCTTTTATTTATAGTTCATTTAGCAGCTATGGAAGGTCACCTTCACTGTTTTAAATTCCTACTCAGTAGAATGAACAGTGTAACAAAAGCATTAAAAGCCTTTAATGATAATGGAGAAAATGTATTGGACCTGGCGCAGAGGTTCTTTAAACAGAACATCTTACAATTTATCCAGGGGGCTGAATATGAAGGAAATGATCCAGAAGATCAGGAAAGTAAGTAATAAACCTAAAGAGTTGTAGCATATAATAAATAGAATCAATGGAAAAGTAGAAGAAAGAAGTGAGAAGGCAAGTGTTATATTAAAATTTATTACATACCATTGTCCACACATTCATATAGATTATGTTCTTTATTATGAAATGTTTTAGCCACAAGCATAGAGAAATTAACATAATGCGCACTATTTATATTGCTGAATTGAAGACTATAATACTATACTTGAAGTTCCTTGAATCTCTCTCCCTAGTATCATTCCCTTTTCTTCCCTATTAGAGGTAAGTGTATTTTGGATTTATTATTTTACTCTCTGGTTTTATATATTAGTTATATAATGTATATATCCACAAATATTTCCTTTCAGGAAAATATATAGTGTATTTTTTTGTGTGTGTCTGCTGTAACGAGGAAACCCTAAAATTCAGTGGTTTAAATGACATAGAAGTTTATTTCTCTTATGTGACAGCCTGGGTTGGAGAGAGAATTTGTTCTGTTTAGTTATTCATGTACTTAGTATCTTCAAAGCTTTTTCTAAGCCACTGCTATCAAGTTGATTTCAACTCATAGTGACCCCCATTGGGTTTCCAAGGCTGTAAATCTTTATGGAATTAGATTGCTTCATCTTCCTCCCACGCAGCACCTGGTGGGTTTGAACCACTAACCTTCTAGTTAGTAGTCAAATGCCTTACAAACTACCACCAGTCATCAGAGCTTGCTTTGAGTTCTTTCTAGTTTAGTTATCAGTGGAAAGAAGGGAGCAAAGCTGTACCTCTAGAACTAGAGACTTCCAAGGGGGTAGTTGTACTTATCACTTTTGCTAACATTCCATTGACGGGAGTTTAGTCATATGGCCATACTTATTTACAAGAAAGTCTGGAGAATTCAGTACCTAACTGGAAAGCTTCATGCTAGCTGCAACTGTATTATTACTGAAGGAAGGGAAGTTTGGTGGACATTGCAACAATTTTAAAAGTTTTATTATAATGGGATAATACAGTCCATACTCTTCTGTGACTTGCTTTTTACACTAAATATTACATTTTTGAGACTTATGTTATTGATATATTCTAGTTTGTTCTTTTAAAGAGTTATGTAGTATAGATAAATTCAAAAAACCAAACTCATTGCCATTGAGTTGGTCCTGACTCATAGCGACCCCTCCTTGGGTTTCCAAGGCAATATCACTACGGAAGTAGATTGCCCCATCTGCATTCCGAGGAGTGGCTGGTGGGTTTGAACTTCTGGTTAGCTAGTCAAGTGCCTTAGGCACCAGAGATCCCGTAGTATGGATAATCCCTGAGTTATGGTATAGAGACAACTCCTACTTGCTCTTTAATATTTTGTAAACTTGCCCTCACTTTGAAACAATTCAACGAACCCCTACTTGCAACAAATTCTTCATCATAATCACCTTCACTTTGCTGCATACTCAGGTTTTAAATCATGGGAAAGGCTTTGAGCCTTTTCTTGCACTAAACCTACTGTCATTGAGTCAATTCAGACTCACAGTGACACTATAGGACAGAGTAGAACTGCCACATAGGGTTTCCAAGGCTGTAAATCTTTACAGAAGCAGACTAACTCTACCTTATCTTTCTCTCACAGAGCAGCTGGTAAGTTAACCACTATTCTATCAGAGCTCTTTTCTTGCACTAAAGTAAGGCTAAATTAAGAACTGTGTGTACCTGTTCGGATTTATCTACAAACTTTAGAAGGTACAGCTAGGAACTGATCTTGTTTGTACCCTGGAGATTGCCCATATCCCAGTCTGCAAAAGCCATTATTCATTTCTTGTCCAATTTGGCTTAAGTTGCTTGCAGTTTTTCACAATTATTAATATCACTAGGGATGTTCTTGCATGTGTCTCTTTATGTACGTGTACAAGGATTTCTTTAGAATACTGCTTCCCGTCTTTTTCACGTATTTTATGTGTGTGTGTGTATATATATGTATATACACACACACACACATTCTAATTATAGTTCTGTGTGCGACATAATGTCCCTTTAACAATGTCTGACTGTGGAGTGATAAAGTGGGGCTGGCTTGGAAGGGTGCTGGGAGGTGGGGCTCGTGTTGAGTTTGTGGCACCCAGCAGCTGCAGTTCTGCTGCCAAGGGATAGCCACAATCCGAGATACAGGTGCAGCCCTCAAGCCGCTACAGGTGCTGTAGCTCCCGCAGGTCCTGCTGGTGTGTGCAGTGCCCAGCCATCCTGCAGGGCTGTGGCCACTCTGTTCCATCCCTCAGGGCTTCTAATTCCAGGCAGGCTCATGTAGCACCAGGAGCCCAGAAGCAGCCAATTGCATGTGCAAGTTTGCAGACCTGAAACTTCGAGTGCATTAACAGAGAGCTAGAGCTGAGACAGTGGTGTTTGGATACTGTTATCCACATGAAAAAAATATATGTGAGAGGTTTTTTATGGCTTTTCTATTTTAATGTCTTGATTTCTTCATTTCTTGACCAATACCACGTTATCATAATTTCTATGCCTGTATGATGGCATGATTCCTTGTATTTAGTTCTTTAAATGTTTTTGGGCTATTCTTGTCTATTTGTTCTTCCACATAAATTTTAGCACTAGCTTTTTTTTTGTTTAATTATTATTATTTTTTTTATTGCTTCATCTTCCTCCCACGCAGCACCTGGTGGGTTTGAACCACTAACCTTCTAGTTAGTAGTCAAATGCCTTACAAACTACCACCAGTCATCAGAGCTTGCTTTGAGTTCTTTCTAATTTAGTTATCAGTGGAAAGAAGGGAGCAAAGCTGTACCTCTAGAACTAGAGACTTCCAAGGGGGTAGTTGTACTTATCACTTTTGCTAACATTCCATTGATGGGAGTTTAGTCATATGGCCATCCATATACCCATGTTTGCCTTCACTGACAACACAGTAGTGTATGTACAAAAGAGTTCATATTTGTTGTCTGTACCTCCCATGTACCTCTCTCTGTCTTTCTCATCCTCAGTGCTGCCATATTGGTCACTCACATTTGGTACATTGCTCTTCTCTTCACCCAAATCGATAACTTATCTCTATTTATCTAACAGCACTCCCTCCAGTCCCCTCCCACCCCTGGTAACCAACAAAGAAAATATCCTCCTATAGATAAACCTTTCCTTAACTTTTACAGTAATGGACTAATACAATATTTGTCCTTTTGTGATTGACTTATTTCACTCAGCATAATGTCCTCCAAGTTCA